ATTCGCTGAACTATATCAATGTCACTTTATATCTCATACAGCTCTTCATTTCATCGGTTACAAGTATTCAATGTTTCCAACCGTAGAGAACAATATATCTTCTGCAAAACGTGTAGACACAAAAACAACTAATTACTCGTATGTTAATGCGCCATACAAATCCGCCAAAATTATGCAAATGGTACTGGTTTAGATTAATAGAAGCTACCACTCTAACATATTGCTTCCAAGAACAATCTCCAATTATTCCTACGATTCCATCAAAGTATGGTTCGAAAAGACCATAAATAAAGCTCGGAAGTAGACTTGAGAGAAAGCTGTTTCTTCCATGGCAAATTGTATGTGATATACTCCAGAGAAAGCCTACAGAGCAGTCTAATGGTTCCAGCTTCTCCCGGAAAAACAAAAAAAAATATTGTCTACAAGGAAATATTGGGGCCACTTACCCCGTTTTCATAAGAAAATATCAGAATTTTATTTTATTTCCATGTTTAAATAATTGTAAAAATATCGTTATTATTTATAAGCATTGAAAAAATTTCATTCCACAATTTATCTAATGCTATAAATTAAATATATTAAAAAAAAAAACATAAAAGTTTATTAAATGCATTTCCAAATTCCATACGGACGAAGTCGCGCGTAAACTCTAGTTCAGAATATATGTAAAACCGCCCACTCATTCAGAAAAATATGCATATGTTAACTAGTGTAATTGACTGTTTCTTGATTGTCGATCTCAAATATGAGTACACATTGCACCGAATATTAAAAAAAAATAACAAATATTAATTTATACCATATTTCAATGAACGAATCACAAAAATAAAATTAAAAATGTCAACCGAAAAGAGGCGAGAGGAGTGGTTTTTTTTTTAAGAGAAAATTGCACAATTCTTAAAGACATGCCAAACAGCGTACAAACGTAATAAATTCGGCAATCAGTAATTGCAATGTAGAGGCGTGCGTGTTTTAATACAGAGTGTGAAGGCAAAAGAAGTTCATTGCTCAACATGAATTGGTTTGAATTAATTTAAATTAAGGATTAATTTACTCAGTTAAGCTATCATAAAATTGTGCACCACATTACTGGTTAAGCCAAATTTTTAAGCGTTTTGAAAAGTGAAAGAGTTGAGATTTTGAACAAAAATTATGTTCGAATACATTCATCGAAAACTGTGGTAAGACAAAAAGATTTTTTTTTCAATTCCCGAACATTTCAAAATAAGCGTAGAATTGTCCACAACAACTTTGATTACTGATGACGTATCGTTGAACCTCCTCAAGGAGACATTTTCAATTAGTAATAATAAATAAACAATAAACATCTATCTTTTTTGCTGTATATACAGTGAAGAGCAATAATTGCTATGACATTTATAGGGTATATACTTAGTAAATATAAAGGAAAGACCTCAATTGGATTGAAAACCTTTTGTCAATCGTGAAATATGGGTTGCACAGGACGAAGGAGCCCCAAGAAACATAAAAAAAACTTTAGGAATCTTGTATTGGATGAGTGCATAAGTTCGTGCCTGATTTCAAGTGCAAACTAAAATTGAAATTTTTTGAAAAAAGCGCTTTTATTAATCAATTATGTATTCGCCATCATGTTTGGCTATCCACTCCCAACGTTCAACCAATTTACGGATGCCTGATTCATAGAAATCGCGCGGTTTCTCGTTGAAAAAGGTGTCAAGGTAATTTTTGACGTGTTCCACATTTTTAAATTTTTTTCCATTCAAATTGTTCTGCAGCGATAGAAACAAATGATAATCAGAAGGTGCAATGTCGGGTGAATATGGGGGATGCGGCATGATTTCCCAATTCATCTCCTTCCGTTTGGCCAGGGTCGGTTTTGCAACATGTGGCCTGGCGTTGTCATGATGGAAAATAACTCCTTAGCGATTGGCCAAAACAAGCGAAATGAAATCGAATTTTAAAAGTGGTAACTTAAAGCAGGGTAGAGAACATGTGAAGGCACTACTGCTATTTACTCCGAATTAAATAATTAACTTTTAACAAAATAATATTTTTGAATTGATTTTTTACATAAATGACGAATGTCAGTATTGTTTTGCACGCCGCTGTAGCTGAGCTTAAATGATCATCAAATATAATATATGAGCATATAAGTTTGTATTTACATATGTATAAATATGATACACTAATTATTATTTATCTGTATATTTTTGCATAATTGCCTTACATTTTTGTTTAATTTCATTTCCCTTTTATCTATTGGTATTTTTATTTATTTTTGTTTTTATTAATTTCATTGCAATTGTTATTTTATTTTATTTTACTACATTTTTTACTTATTTTATTTATATTTTTTTACTCTATTTTACATCATTCTCTTTATTTTATTTTTTAATAATTTTTTACATAATATTTTATTTGATTTTTTAATATACTAAATTATTTTAATTAATTTTTTTTTAAACAATATCCCTTTCGATTTAATTGTTTTTTGTTAATTTTATTATGTTTAGTTTAGTTTTGTTTTATTTGTTTTTATTTAATTTGATTTTGTTTTATTTCATTATTTTTTATTTTTGAAGAATTTATTTAAAAAAATTGACATGTAGTAATCTTTTATTTTTTTTTTAATTTCAGTCAATTTTATTTTATTTTTTTAGTTTTGTTATAGTTTTTATTTGAGTTTTTTATTATATTAAATTATTTTAATTTATTATTTTAAATTTATTTCCCTTTTAATTTAACTGTTTTTATATTTAATTAATTTAATTTTGTTATGTTTCAATTTTCATTTTATTATGTTATTCTATTAAATTGCACTTTGTTTTATTTCAATAAATTTTATTTTTATTTAAAACTCATATTTTATTTTACTATTACTATATTTTTTATTTTATTTTTATTTTTTTAATTTACATAATTTGATTCTATTTTTTATTATTATTTTTTGTTTTTTTTTTTTTAAATTTTAGTTATAGAGTTTTTCATCTGTTTTTTTATTATATTATATTATTTTAATATATTTTTTTAATTTATTTTCTTTTTGATTCATTTTATATCGTTTATTTTATTATGTTTAATTTAAGTTTGTTTTGCTTTATGTTATTTTATTTTATTTAACATTTTTCTAGTTTATTATAGAATATTTTATTAGTATATTTGTCTTTTATTATATTATTTTATTTTAAAATTTGTTTATTATTTTTATTTTATTGTTTATTTTACTTTATTTGATTTAATTTTGTTTTATATAATCTTATTTTACTTTATTTGTTTTCATTTTATTTTATTTAATTTTATTATTTCATTTGATTTTGTTTTATTTGAATTTATTTATTTTTTATTATATTGTTATACATTATAGTATTTTTTTTTTACTTTGCTATATATCAAATTGTTTAACTTATTTTATTTTATTTATATTATTTATTTAATTTGAATTATTTGGTTTTATTTTATTTTGCTTCATTTCAATTTACTTTATTTTTTTTATAATTATTTTATTATGGTGTTTTTTTATCTAATTTACTCGTATTTGTTAGAGAATTTTATTTTAATTTATTTTATTTCTTTTCTTTTATTTTATTATTTTGTTATAGCGTATTTTATTTTGTTTTGGTTAAATTTACTTTATTTAATTTTGTTTTATTTATAGTTAATGTTATTTAATTTTATTTTAGCTTGTTTTATTTTGCTTTAGGTAAATTTATTTTAATTATTTTATTTATTTTATTTTATTTTATTTATTTCTTATTATATTTTACTTTAACCTGTTTTGACTTTATTTTCTTACTTTATTTTTTGTGTATTTTATTATATTTAATATGATTTTGTTTTATATTAATTTAATTTATTTTGTTTTATTTTATTTTCTCTTTTATTATTTTGTTATAAAGTAATTTTATTTTATTTATTTTTGCTTAATTTATTCTATTTCATTTTGTTTGTTTACAATATTAATCTAATTAAAGTATTTAGCTTTATTTTATTATATTTTGTTTGATTTATTTTCTTTTAATTTGGTTTATTTCAATTTAATTTATTTTATTTTTTGTGTATTTTATTATATTTAATTTGATTTCATTTTATGTTATTTAATTTTTTATTCTATATTGTTACTTATACTTATACTTATATTTTTGATTTGATTTAAATTATTTGGTTTTATTTTATTTTGTTACTTTTTAAATTACTTTATTTTAATTTATTTGATTTTGATTGAGTTCAAATTATTCTGTTTTATATTGATTTGATTTAAATTATTTGGTTCAATTTCATTATATTTTTTCTATCTGGTTTCTTTTAAATTATTGTATTTTATTTGATTTTAATTTAGGTTAATTTATTTTGATTTATTGTGTTTATTTTAATTTACGTAAGAGAATTTAATGATATTTTATATCTAATTAATCTATTTTTTTCTACTTTATTTAATTTTTATTTTATTTATTTATTATTTTTTTTTTAATTTATTTATTTTTTTTAATTGCAATTATTTTTTTATTGTATATTATTAGATTTTGTTTTATTTTAGTTGTTTTTATTAATTATGTATTTTGTTTGAAGTTATTTAATTTTTCTTAGTTGGTTTTTAATTTCAACTTTACTTCGTTTTGTTTAATTTTTTTCTTTTATTTCATTTTATTTCATTTAATTTGAAATTTTTTCATTTATGTTCTTTTATTTTATTATTTAAATTATGTGAATTTTCTTTATTTTATTTTATTTATATTTATTTTATTTCGCATTATTTTTTTATTTATTATTTATTAATTTAATTTAATTTATATTTAGCTTTATTTTTTTTTTATCAAGTCGGAGTTTTCATAATACACTTGACGCGAAAAAACCGCAAATTTTAAATTGCCTTACATAAAGACACACTATCACACACATACACTTCAATTGAAACAGACAAGCAAATCACTTATTCATCATCAATATATCCACCACCCACTCTACAGCTGATGGTTTTTGTTTTGTTTACATACACGTATGTATGTACAATACATTTATACCTTGTGTAGACTTCTCGTCACAAATTTGCTGTGCCTTCAAACGTTGATCAATCACATAAAGCATTTCACATCCCAAGTTGACCATTAGAAAGACGTTGGCGCGCGGGTTGCACTGTCGGCTCAAGGACGCCATTGTGGTGTCCTTTTCGATGTAATACTTCCCACACGCGGGAAAATTTACCGAGCAACAACTTTTAATTAACACAACAAAATTATTAAAGTTGGTCAACTGACATACAGTACTGACAACGGTACTTTGCACAGTATATTCGCGATGATAAAAAGCTGAATCAGTAATTCATACACTTTTTCTGCTCTTCATTTAAGTTGGAGCACAACGTCTAGCATGCTAGCGATCCAAAAGAAGACTGACTCAAACAGAATGAAGGCGCACACAGGAGCCAAAATGTTACACGAGCGCCCCCACACACCATTACCGCCATCACACACAGGCGCACACTACCACGTAATGCACTACTCCAATGTTGTTATGTGTCCGATGTTTGTTTGCCGTTGTTGTCACTGTTTTCATTGTCGGTTAGCGCGCGCGTACCGCAGCTCTTTGCCCCCCAAGGGCAGTAAGCAGTGAGCGATACAACAGAGTTCGAGGGTGACCGTGTTATGCATGTTAGTATGCAAGCCGCCACCGTCTTTGCCGTCCCATTGGAGTATGCAGGACAATTAGTAGTAGCGACATTGCTGGCAAGCAAACAACTAGTCGTTGTCGCCGTCCGTCAGTCAGGCGATCGGACGGCCAATCAGTCATTGAGGTAGTAAGATAAGCCGAAAACTACCTGCCGTCGTCACTTTGGTATGTGAGAAAATATGAATTTCTTTTGTATGCATGTGTGTGGTGTACTCGTATGCATACTTACTTATATTTACTACATTTAATACTATAGATTAACAATATTTTTTTCTGTTTTTTTTTTTAACCAAATTGTTGAGGCGCACAACACGCAAGACCTGCATTTTAGACTACTTACATACACTGCCTGCGGCTGAAACGCTATTCACATGTATATACATATGTATGTGTTGCATACACATATTATATAAGGCTTGCCACTTCTATATTTGGTTCGTGCTTTTGGTGGCGGGGTAGGAAAGGAGTAAGCGCCAAGATGTAGACTAAGACCCAAATATATAAGTAAATCTTAATCGATATATACCTACCGACATATGTACAAGTATGTGTATGTCTGTGTATATATGTATTTAAATATAGAATAATTATTACGTGGCGCCAAAACGCAGTTATTACTGAGTGAGCACTTTCCCAATGATTGTTGTGCCAATATATGTAAATATGTCCGTACGTACGAGTATGTGCAAGTAGATAAGTAAGTCGCTAGAGCTAATCGAAGAGAACTCTCTCTTTCGTTACTAATAAAATTTATTGATCCAATACATTTTCTGAACTGAATTTATACAATGTGTTGGATGTTACGAGGGGAGGTTGAAAAGTTTTTGAAAGTGAAAGATTGTGAGTGAAATAAAATGGATCTATTTTCCCTTTCCAAAAAATATTATTTTAACTGCGAACAGACGACTGCTATATAAGGGCGACACTCAGCCGCCAAGTCAAGTTAGTTACAAAGTGAACTCGTTGGCGACAACATCAGTAGAGTCGTAAAGTAAACGCGTTAGAAATTACATTTAAGTAGAGTAAATTGTGAAAGTTTATACAAGTGATTGTAGCTGGTGAAGTGCATTGTAATTGAATTGTGAATTACTGAGTAAATAAAGGATATTAGATAAATTCTTTATAACGAAAGAAACTGCAAATTAAGTTGGCGATATTTTATTTAACAATCCAGAGATCGTACCCGAAGGATTCAGAAAATCATCGAGGTTGATTTAGAAAAATCGTAACAATATATAAACAAGATCGGAGACAAGATCGCGACTATAAAACTTCATTAACCCTTCCCTTTAAGGTGGTTCCATATTATTCTCCGTTTATGATGACTTACTTATTGTACTTACTTACTTTACTGGCGTAGACGCCGCTTACGCGATTATAGCCGATTTAACAACATTGCGCCATTCGTTTCTTCTTTTTGCTGTTTGGCGCCAATCAACAACCAGGTCCTTCTCTACCTGGTCTTTCCAACGGAGTGGTAATCTTCCTCTTCCTCTGCTTCTACCGCGGGGTACTGCATCGAAAACTTTCAAAGCTGGAGTATTCACATCCATCGGGACCACATGACCTAGCGAGCGTAGCTGCTGCTTCTTGATTCGCTGAACTAAATCAATGTCGACGTATAACCCGTACAGCTCATCGTTACATCGTCTGCGATGTTCGCCATTGCCCATGCGCAAAGCACCATAAATCTTACGCAAAACCTTTCTCTCGAAAATACCTAACGACGACTAATCAGAGGTTGTTATCGTCCGTGCCTCCGCACCACATAGCAGGACGGGAGCGATGAGGACTTGTAGAGTTTGGTTTTCGTTCGTTGCGTCGGGAGAGGACTATACTTTTCAATTGCCTACTCAGTCCAAGGTAGCACCTGTCGACAAGTGTGATTCTGCGCCGAATTTCAAGGCTGACGTTATTATTATTAACAACAAGCTGGTTCCTAGATGGACGAAATTATCTACGAGTTCAAAGTTATGACTCCCAACAGTGACGTGGGAGCCGAGTACCGAATGCAGTGACTGTTTATGTGATGCCAGGAAATATTTCGACTTGCCCTCGTTCACTACCAGACCCATATCCTTCGCTTCTTTATTCAGTCTGGAGATAGCAGCACTAACGGGGCGGTGGTTGGGGCCAATATCGTCAATATCATCGGCGTACCCCCAGCAGCAGTACACTCTTATAGAAGATTATACCTTCTCCATTCAACTCTGCAGCTTGTATTATTTTCTCCAGCATCAAATTAAAGAAGTCACACGATAAGAAACTACCCTGTTCGAAACCTCGTTTGGTACCGAACAGTTCGGAGAGGTCCTTCCCGATCCTGACGGAGCTTTTAGTGTTGTTCAAGGTCAGTTTACACAGCCGTAAAAGTTTTGCGGGGATACCAAATTCAGACATAGCGACGTAAAGGCAGCTCCTATTCGTGCTGTCGAAGGCGGCTTTGAAATCGACGAAGAGGTGTGGATGTCGAACCCCTTTTCACCGGTCTTGGTGAATATCTGGTCAATGGTTGACTTACCAGGTCTGAAGTCACTCTGATAAGGTCTAATCAGTTTGTTGACGGTGGGCTTCAGTCTTTCACACAATATGCTCGACAGGACCTTATAGATGATATTAAGGAGGCTTATCCCACGGTAATTTGCGCAGACTGTGGGGTCCCCTTTTTCATCGATTGGACAGAGTACACTTGAATTCCAATCGTCGGGCATGCTTTCGTCCCACAGTAGCTGCAAAGTAGCTGATGCATGCACCTTGTCAGCTTTTCACCGCCATGTTTGAATAGTTCTGCCAGTAGGCCGTCAGCTCCCGCCGCTTTTTTGTATTTTAAGCGGGCGATTGATATTCGAACTTCTTCATGGTCAGGTTTATGATGACACTTCTTTGTTTATAGAAAACTAGTCGTTTCTTTTTTCGCTTTGTAGCTCCAATTGAAAATTCCAAGACGCTCTTCAACTTATTCTTCAAACTGAAAAAAGCCGAAATCCTCTAAAATTCAAAAGTCCGACTCTCAACATGGAGATAAGATTGAAATGCGCTCTTTGTTTGTCTTTTCCCCGTTTACCACCCAACGCACTCCATTCGCTGCTTTATATTATTTAGAGGAAGTGGAAATAAAGACGCTACCGCAATGAGCACCCCAATAGGCGCCTAAGAGAAGCTGAATCTCCACCTAGGCATATGAGCAAGGGAGTAATAGATCTTAAGGACACAATCAATACAAGACGGCGTACAGACCAGCGCTGAACGCTATTCACCAGGAATCAGTCAATACTTTCAAGGACTCCCTTCCAATGAATGACGTGCTCGGAGAAAAACCATCACCTATAGCAGACAACGAGCTCGAGCTGGCTCGAGAGACCCGCGTGACCCCGACACAACTCTGGATACTGTAACAGATTAAACTCCTACTTTTCCAGACTTGACCCCAGCAAACCCAACTTATGCCCTGCATGTGTAGAGTCTGCGCCTAACCACCTCTTCACATGCCGCCGAAACAGCTTGTTTCCTGGACCTCCTATTAGATGACCTCGGCGACTTAGATTAATCACACCTGTGCCTAAGCGGAATTAGCGAACCGCTACAACAACAACTCGGTGCTCAGTTCTGCGGTTCTTATGATTTTCTCTAGAAATAAGTTGAATAGGCAATTGAACTCTTTCCTCCTTGAGGTCTGCGTAGCATTAACCCGAACTCGCTTCGTAGTGGTGACTTTGCGATAATAGTACTGTAAATGTATGGAGCACGAGCTTCAATACCAAACTCAACATAAACAAAGAGGCAGATATATTTCACACTATAATCTAAGTAAGGTTCTTCTTTAAAAGAAAGTGCCATAATTTTTTCACTAAATATGCTAGCAAAGGTAGTAAAAATTTTGTTTCTTCTTACGTTTACCTTCTCTAGAAAATATTCCCAAATAAAAAATAAAATGATGGCAACGCCATAATTGTCATGAACATGACTTAACTCTATTTGGCAGCTGCTGTCATTTTGAAATACACACAGTCACCGAAGAAAATTTAGATTTTTGTTTGTGCCAGCCGCTTCATTGAAATTTATTAAAAACGAATAAGTATGGATTTCTCACAGGATTATGGTATTCACGACAATGCTGTCAGCACAGGTACGACCATTATGGCAGTTGAATTCAATGGGGGAGTGGTAATTGGAGCAGACTCACGTACAAGTACTGGCCTATTTGTGGCCAACCGCGTTACAGACAAATTGACTCGCATTACGGATAAAATTTATTGTTGCCGTAGTGGATCTGCTGCTGATACGCAAGCTATTGCCGATATTGTTGCATACTCTTTGAATTACCATGAAAACCAGACAGGTGAAGAACCATTGGTAGCTGAAGCCGCATCAGAATTCCGTAATTATTGTTACAACTATCGCGACAGCTTGCTGGCGGGCATCATTGTTGCCGGTTGGGACAAACGTAATGGTGGACAAGTGTACTCTATACCATTAGGTGGTATGCTGAAGCGAGAATCAGTCACAATTGGAGGTTCGGGCTCAAGTTATATCTATGGTTATGTACGTGAGGCATACCGCCCACAAATGGAAAAGGAAGATTGCGTCGCTTTTGTGGTAAAAGCAGTAAAACACGCTATATACCATGATGGCAGTTCAGGTGGTGTTGTGCGTATCGGAATTATCACTGAAGATGGTATTGAACGAAGAGTGTTCTTTAATACAGAATCCGGAAATCCCGTTGAAATTGGCAACTAATTGTGGCCATTTTATAACAATAATGATTTGTATGGTTTTTGAATTAATGCGAGATATTACAAATAAAAATTTCTAACAGTAATAGATTTGTCAAGAATTTTATTTTTTAGTGATAGAGCACATTTTGTTCAATTGTGTACATTAGTTTAACCTTTCAGATTGAATTGTAAAACTACCACTTCAAGCTACAATTTTTAACATAGCAGGCTTTATAAGCCTTTAATAACAAAAACATATATCTGGTCAACAAAGGGACAGGAAATTAGATTAATTCTGCATGTCCAATATAAACTTCTTTCCAGCAAATCCTTTAAAATCCAAAGCTGCTGCAACTGCATCTTTGAACTTCTGCAGTGGTACCATTTCGTGCACCGGCGCTACAAATTTTCCTTGTTCAATCAAATCACACAATTCACTAAACATATGTGTGCGTTGCGATGAATTATAGTTTTCCTTAGACCAACGTGTCATCCAGAAACCATGAAATGCAATGTCTTTAAAAATCAATGCGGCAGTACTTGCAACAACCGGTTCACGAGACATACCACCATATGTTACCATAACGCCCTTGTCTGCCAAGTGTCGTGATATTTCAGTTGCACTTTTACCTCCAACACAGTTTAACGCTAGACGCGGTCGTGGCAATTGTTTTTCTTTGAACATGCTGCTAGAACGTATTTCCTCCTCTGTCAATACCTCTGTCGCACCCAGTGATTTTAAATATTTTTTTAATTCTGCTATATCCGGTCTATTACGCACAATACCAACAGATTTTATATCCCACGACTTGCAGAGTTGATGTACGGCCTGTCCGACAGCACTGTTAGCACCGTTTTGAATAACACAATCGCCTGGACTTAATTCTACGAAATCTTTAAGCATACGGTAAGCGGTGCATGGATTAACAGTCAATGTGGCTGCTTCCGCTAAGCCAATCTTATTTGAAACTGGCATTAAATCTTCTTCTGCAAAGATCGCATGGGTAGTCCAGGTGCCCAAGCCAGTGGTAAAGGGTATAACATGTTGTCCCGTAGTCAATTTTGAGACATTTTTACCAACCGATATTACTTCAGCTACACACTCATTTCCGCCGACTGCGGGAAATGTTGGTTTAACAGGATATTTACCTTAGAAAATGGAAAATTTTATAGAATTAACCTTGAGAAAATTGATTCGCGGGCTCTTCTCACCTTGTATGGTGTTTATATCAGCCGGGTTAATTGGTGCTGCAAGTACTTTAACCAATACTTCATATTCTTTCGGATTCTTTAGCTGGTCCTCCACAAGTTCTATAACTTCAACCGGCTCGCCATGCTTGGAGTATTTCAACGATTTCACCACTTTACTCATATTACGAGTGAATTGAAAAAATTTTCCTGCATTTAGCAACGTATTGTGGATTTGTGGTATCATTCTTATAAAATATAGCCGGTTCTGTTATCACAAAACTGCCGAGTCCTTTTAATAAACCTCCACCATTGACAAGTAGAAAATCAGCTGATCGTTTGACCTAACAGCCAGGCTTGCATGCGCTCTTGATTTTAATTCGAATAAATTACAATTTCTACTACCAAAGTGAATGCATCAGGGTGGGAGCAAGAGAACAAATGCAACTATTACCAATATTTCGATTTGCTTTGAAAAAAGGGAATGACAAAATCATAGAAATTGGTTTGTTAATATGTAGAAACTATTTGATCCAAGAAAATAAAGAATAAACTCGCAAATCATTCTAAACATTTGTACGCCTAATATATGGAAAAATGTAGTGCTCTGATTGTTAAGTTCTCTTTGATTCCTAGATATTTTAAGTCATTTACTTGTTCTACATGGAGCGATGTATTGGAGTTATAATAACTTCACTTGTCATAAAATTATTTAAACCCTCTGTGCTTTAATTCTAATCAGTTATTTGATGAAGAGCAAGAATTAACTATAAGATAATATATCCTCCGTATTTTAGCACAATGCACAAATACACTTCAGTAAATTTACTGACATATTACTTAGTTATAAATCATGTTTTTCTTATGAATGATTGTAGTTGCCTGCGAAGCACAATGAAAAGTTTTTAATAAAATTATAAAGTTAAAAAAATTTTAATATAATAAAAGTAAAAAATTAAAATATTGTTTTATGCAATCAAATCTTTTCCATCTGGCAGACTTTTCCACTGAAGTGTAATTCACGCCATAATTTTTGACAGCTGCTGCATTTTTGTTGTTTCAATTCAACGGTCAACTGCCTCGAAAAATTGTTCGAAATAATTTAGTGGTGATTTGTTTTGCTATATTTCTTAATTTGTGTTTTATTTTTTATAAAGGTAATAATCTTTCTAAATAGTGATTATTTTATACTAATCAATTACAAGAGTAGGCATCATAGGAAGAGTTTTTTAAGGGTTTAAAGCAAGTTATTATGTCTGCGGCCACATTATCAACTTTGGCTACTTTCGACGATATTCGTCGCTGCATACAAGTACTTACCGATGGCACTGCGGAAGAAGGTGAGTTTCTTTTTTTTGGGCTTCACTAGGTGAGAAAAAGAAAATAAATATGTCTTTTGATAGAATTTCTTCGCGTTTTACGTTTACAAGAGCAATTTAGAAAGGAATGTCTTGACACTGCAAAAGAAGCGCAGCGTATACAGAAAGAACTAGATTCCTCACTGGAATCAATGGCGGATTTGGAAACTAAATTGTATCACGCACGCCGTTTACTAGAAGTAGAGAGTAAATTACGTCGTGAAGCAGAACATGAACGTGATCAAATGGAAAAGAAAATAATTGCAGTGGCTGATTTAGTACAAAAGGATTGTAATTTAAATAATGAGACACGCGATAAGTTAGCCCTCCTGAATACTTTGCCACGCAAACGAAAATCAATGAATCGTGTGGTCGAGGAAAAATATGGCAATGATATTAACTCCACAGGTTCATTTCTATCTGATTTATCAATAACACAGTCGGAGGATGATTTTCTCGATGTACGTCCTTCCACTGGCTGGCAAAAACATCGTCCATCTTTGCCTAAAAATACAGTACCATGCGTAGGCGGCAAGCGTTCTCGTGTTAGTGGCGCAGGGCTACCAACAACACCTGCCACTAATACCAGACGTTCCACTACACGTCGAAGTGCTGGGGGCGTACAACAGCATATGATGGATGTAGCACCTGGTTCCGAACGTATTTGTGCTACAACAAAAGTCACAATTCCCCAAGATGGAAATGGTGCTATACGCGCTGAATCTACAATAGAATCCATGCCCGCAAAACCAATTGTCGCAACTGTAGCTTTGGATAATGAAGGTAGCACAGAAGAAGCAGCATGCACAACACCCACTGGCTCTCCATATAAAGGTGCAACTGCACCACCAGTAACACCAATGACTGCAATAAAAAGTGTGCCAGCCGTCAATTTATGCTCGCCGCAGGTATCCACTTTACGGGGACAATTAATGCGGCAACACAATTTCGCTTCGCGTACTTTCATTCGTACCGACACATGTACACACTGTCAGAAAAAGTACGTATCTAGTATGGATTTTCTTATAACAAAAGTGTTTTTAAATAATTTTTCCTTTTTTACAATTCCAATTTTCTTCTAATTCTAGAATTCGGTTTGGTACAGTGGGAGTGCGTTGCAGAGATTGCCCCGTGCGTTGTCATGCAGATTGTCGTATTGCATTGGCAGTAAGCTGTGTACCGCAGTCGGGTACACCCACTATTAAAGGTATGATGGGTTACATCAGCGATTACGCGCCAAACGTGTCACCGATGGTACCAGCACTAGTTGTGCATTGCGTTAATGAAATCGAATCACGCGGTCTCAACGAGGTTGGTATATATCGTGTATCAGGTTCGGAACGTGAGGTAAAAGCGCTTAAGGAGCGTTTCTTGCGTGGCAAAAACACACCATATTTGGGTAGCATTGATGTACATGTTTTGTGTGGCTGTGTTAAAGATTTTCTACGTTCATTGCGCGAACCACTTATACCTACCAACTTATGGAAGGACTTCTGTAATGCGGTCCAACAGCCAACAGAGACAGAAATACAAAAAGACCTGTTTAAGGCAATTGACGCTTTGCCTCAAGCAAATCGCGATACATTGGCATTTTTGATTCTGCACTTCCAACGTATTGCTGAAAGCCGGGAAGTTCTAATGCCAATTGATAATATTGCACGAGTATTCGGACCAACTATTGTTGGTTACTCATCAGCAGATCCCGATAGGCATGCAATCTTCACCGAGGTATATATGCAGTTTACCACAATGCAGAATTTACTAAAAATTTCCGGCGATTACTGGGCACAATATGTGACTTTGGATGCAGATAAAGAAAACACTCAAACAAATGGCTCAACCAATACAGTTACGCGCACACCAAGCCAAAATGCTAAAGAATCTCTCTACTCGCTATATGGTAGGTGTAGAAAACGTTAAGGCATTTCGTAATTGTTAATTCTTTTCTTTTGATTACACAGCAACTCCACTTAAAGGCACGCTCAAGAAAAGAAAATTTCATGCAACGCCTCCATATCCTTATAAGAAGTGATGATATTAAGCTAGTATTTTAAAAATAACTGTCAAAGCATCCGTCTTGAAATACGTCACAAAATAACACTTTATACTTAATTTTTGCTACCCATGCTTACATTAATATACATATACATATTTCGCAAAGTTGCATTTATATTATTAACATTTTGGTTAGTTTGCCATGAATCGAAACTTCAGTCGGAGCATATTTTTAAAAGCTCAACACTAATTTACATTTGGTTAACATTTGGAATGTACTTTAATTTTATCTTTAACTATTACACACAATTTCCTGAATTAAATATTTTTCTGTTTGTTAAAATTTCGATTTATCAACCTGAATAACAACATGATACAAGTATTGCGCTAATAATTGGTTGTGGGGTCATAATTTATGTATTTCTTTTATACATTAAATAATGGTGAAATAAATACCATATCTATAATTTTCTATATTTTACTCATTTTATACAAATTTGCCTAGAATAAGGTATTTTGATTTTGTAAAAAAGAAACATTTTCTCGTAATAAAAATTCTAATGTTTAATATTTCTGAAGTAAATATAAAAAAAAACTTGTTTTGTAATTTTCCCTTTTTTTCGCGGCTAAGTAATGAACTTAAAGTCACGCCACATATAAAATGGTGAAACGTAAACAGGTAAATAGCTGCGTATATTTGAGGTTAAGTAGTATATAGCGAATTTCTTATTATTACAAATGTATAACTAACTCTCGATGACCTTGATAATTAAATAAAATTCGGTTGTTGGGTGACAACAATTTCCCTACAGGGTATGTGTGCATGCCTAACATTAAAAACCGGCATATGAACAGCTAACTTGTCATCTCATTTGCACGCGTTTTACTTGAATTGGTAAACGCGATCGACGTAATCACAATATTTATCTGCATGTGCTCTCAACTACTTGAGTAGCCTAGCCTAGTAATATTCTTATTCCGTCTCCAGGGCTTCGAGAGCAAGTAAGTCTGCTTTTGATAATAAAATTTTTGATAATAAATTTATCTTGCATTTCTTTGTTTGCTAATTTCTAGTTGTGCTATATTCAAGAGATAATTAAAGGTGTTTAATATAAAAATGGCGAACATTGCAAAACTTCTGGCTGGACGTGCGCAACATGTACTCCAAGTGGCAGCGAAGCAAACACAGTTGACACCGCGTTTCTTTGCATCAGGTTGGTTTTAACAAATATTAGAGATTTCCATTCGGTTATCTTATGGTTCTTAGCATAAATGCATACACTCGGTCGGCTATTTTTATATATGTACGCACATATGTATGTGTGAACAAATGCATGGAAATTATAGGCAAAAGTGGCAAAGTTGGACTTTGATTACAAATTGTGCTTTTATATATGTATGTTCATAACTTCGGATATATATAAGCATATATATGTATTTATTTACATTTATATGCAATTTGTAAGTTCAAGAGCACCGGTATTTAATTAAAAAGGAGGTGTGTCTAGAGCAGTTGTAGTTATTTTTGGTTTCATGGAAAAAACCTATGCTTTGGTGTTATGTAATAATGACAGCAACAAGTTTTTGTGCGCTTATCGCGGCATGCTGTCTTTATAGCTCTCTGATACATACGTATATAGTACGTATATACATGCAATAGTATTTTATAAAAAAGCAAAATATTCATTGAATTTTCTTAATTGTTCTTGCATTTAAATATGATGTATGTATGTATGTATGCATGTATAAATATGTGCGCAGTTGTTCTATAACCGGCGCATATGGATGTATATAAATATTTCTTTATTTAAATGTGTCTTACCCATAGCTAATTAGTGCATATACATACATATATGTTGTTGTTGTAACCGCAAAAAATATTCCATAAAATACGTTTTGGGGAAGACTGCAGGAGTGCCATTCATAAGCCGGATCGTGCTGGCATAAAGACTGTCTTGGGAACTTGTGGGTTTTAGTCGCCTCTTACGGCAAGAATGTTGTTGTAGCGGTTCACAAGACCCGCTTAAGGAAATGTTTAATGAATCTAAGTCGCCAAGGTCATCTAATGGCAGGTCCAGGAAACGTGCTGTTTCGACAGAATTGGACGAAACGGAGAAGAGGGTTAGATGTGTCGGCTTAAGAGGGCATGTGGAGAGGGGATTAGTATCGAGCGGAGACTCTCCACATGCAGAGCATACGTTTGGTATGTTGAGGTCGAGTCTTAATAGGTAGGAGTTTAACCTGCTGCAGTATTCAGACCTACGGCAATCATGCTTTAACGCGTGTAACTTCCCCCCAAAAACACAGGAATTTTTAAACTTCCATTTCACCTTTCCCCATAAATAGTAAATAATCCAGTAATGTTGTGTATTCTCTTCCAGCCGCCAACTTGGAATTCCTCAAGCACGAGGTGACTGGCGAAAAGAAGAATGTCGCTGTAATTACATTGAATCGCCCTAAAGCGCTCAATGCCCTGTGCAATGGGCTCATGAAGGAATTGAGTCAAACTCTCGATGCCTATGAAAAGGATAAAAGCATTGCTGCCATCGTCATTACAGGCAGTGAAAAGGCCTTCGCCGCTGGTGCTGATATCAAGGAAATGCAACCCAATACTTATTCACAATGTATTATGGGAAATTTACTGAGTGAGTGGACGCGTGTTGCACGCTGCCAAAAGCCAATTATTGCCGCTGTAAATGGTTATGCATTGGGTGGTGGCTGTGAATTGGCCATGATGTGTGATATCATTTACGCCGGTGAGAAGGCGAAATTTGGTCAGCCAGAAATTGCTTTGGGTACCATACCCGGTGCTGGTGGTACTCAACGTTTAACACGTGTTGTTGGCAAATCCAAGGCCATGGAAATTTGCTTGACCGGCAATATGATTTCGGCTACAGAGGCAGAGAAAATGGGTTTGGTCAGTAAGGTATTGCCCGCTGATCAATTGGTGAACGAAGCTGTTAAATTGGGCGAGAAGATTGGTACACACTCTGGTTTGATCGTACAACTTTGTAAAGAGGCTGTGAATACAGCATACGAAACCACACTGCAAGAAGGTCTGAAGTTCGAACGTAGAACCTTCCATGCCACATTCTCAACGGTGAGTGTACCAGCAGTAGTAGTAGAATTAACAAAATATTGTATTTCAATCTAATATTTTTCGTTCTGCAGGAGGATCGCAAGGAGGGTATGACTGCTTTCGTTGAGAAGCGCCCAGCCAACTTCAAGAATAACTAAAATTTTAAGCCCATAACGGAGCATTTGGATTTAAGAAAATGTCCACATGTCTGGAACTGCATACCAGATTTTGCATTTATATCTACAAACTACTTTTATATTTTACACCAATTATGTTTAAAAATAATGTTGATCCTTGTAGTTATTAAAGTAAAGAAGCAATATTTTGTTAGAAACGCATTATATATGTAAATAAATACGAATATACTAAATTTTGTTATAAAATGTAGACTTCAAACTTTTTCCATAAACCTAAAGAATCAACCAAGGCGAATTTATAGAAGGTGAAGTTGTCAGATCATATGATTGCTTGTTCTTCCTTCCATTTCAACAAATTACACAAACAAAATGCATGAGAAATAGGTTTTGACATTACGAACTTTTTATTACACCAAAAAACTTTTGACTTTTCGAAAGTAGGATTACACCAATAAAATACATATGCTTTTTGTGAGTAAATTTGCCATGGAATCAACTGTTCCTCAACTAAATACATATGCTTGTATATAAAGAAAAATTTGTTCATGACTCTACGAAAGAAGGAATTAGCTCTTCAAGTTCATTTTTTTTGGTCCGAACCCGCTGTTGTTGTTGTTGTTGTAGCGTCTACGCTAACCCCGTTTAGGGACAGGTTTAAAATCAATCTAAGTCACCGAGGCCATCTAACGGGACGTCCAGAAAATGTGTTGTTTCAACAGGATCGGACCAGAGGGAGAGGGGGTTAGATGTGTCGGCTGGTTATAAGTGTCGTGTGGAGACCCTCCACATGTTGGGCATATATTGGGTATGTTGCGGTCGAGTTTGGATACATAAGAGTTTATCCTGCTACCTATGTTGTGCCAATGTCACGCGGATCTCTGGAGGCAGCTCGAGTTCGTTGTCTGTGATAGATGGTGCTTTATTTCCGAGCACGCAATTCACGGGAAGGGAGCCTTTGAAGGTGTTGACGGACAGCGTTCAGTGCTTTTATGTACGCCGTCCTATCCAGCGGTTTTTCAACATATCGCTGGATGGTATCCTTTAAATCAGTAACTCGTAGCATAGATGTTTCGTGCAGGGCAGTGTTCTGAAAGCTGTTCGTCCCCGGCGCCCAGATAGGTGCAGCATAATTTACTATCGGCTGGCCAATTGAATTATAGGTTGCCAGTAAGGTTTCTTTATCTTTACCTCAGGTGCTGGCAGCTAGCGTCTCTGCAGTTTTACAGCAATTGCGGTCGTGTGCGAAGTGAAGGAATACTGGCTGTCGAGTATGATTCACAGTATCTTGGGGCTTTTTATGGTCGGAAATTTCACGTCATCGACCTTCACATCTAATTCGAGCCTGTATTCATTCGTCCAGCTGGTGAAGAGGGTAGCCGAGGATTTCATCGGTTGTTTCTTAAGCTGTCTTGGAGTGAGGAAATGCGACAGGTCGGCGAGATAGCAGTGCCCTCGATGACTGAGACTGATCTAGCTTGCGGTTAGGCGGGGTTACACGTCGTTACAACAACAAAAACAACAACAACAACAACTGCACAAATGTTGGATAAATCGTAATCGAGTCTGGAGTTGGTTCTGCTACAAATCCTCACGCCTAATTGTGTCGGAATTACAAACCTTCTCAACAGCAATAAAGGTTGGTCGGGTCTTGATATTATCATGCGAACGGAGGTGATCTCTCCGATGACAGATGCTGGCAATAAAGCATTTCATTATGCTTCTAGCTTGCAGACAAATTTCCTTTCGAATTCCACAAAGCGGTGTTTTGACAGACACGGAGCATCCTCGAAAGCATTTCCCAGGTTCCTGGCGTCCAGTTCGATTCATAGCTTAAGTGTCTGAACTTATAAGAGTTTGTAACGAATTAAAAGCTCTTTAAATAAACTCACACGTTAAGCTCAAACAAAGTCTTTGTGAAAATAAAGATAAAAAACTCTTACGAATCATTACCTACCGCCTATTTGCTGAAGGTTTTCTGACTAATGTATGAGTTTCGCGTGGAGTGTAAACCCGCGGAGCTTTTCACCTGTGCAACAAACATTTTCCCTCCCAGAGCTTTCATTCACTCAACAATCGTTTCTTATGTTTATACTTTTTATCAGCCAATCAGTGTTGCCAACTTTACCAGAAATATTGCTTACTAGCTTGCAAATAGTATAATTGCGCACAATAGTACATACAAAGTCACCCTCACACATATGCATGATAACTGTTTTGCGCTTACATAGCTTATGTGTGACAAACTGAAAGCAAATGAAAACAGTTAGAAAAGCTCTCGCAACGATTTCAGTACTTTTTGTGTTTCCGGAAAAAGTGTACCGTTATTTGTGGAAATACGCACGGCAAGTGGCTCAGCTGCAAACCGAGCAAACGAGCAAGGAACAAGCATAGTATACATACACACATAGTAAGGAGCTGCTCAAGTGTCGCTACAAACAGTCGCCTACACATGCATACATACATACTACATACATATGCACATATATTTTTATGAACATACACACATACATACATACAAAAAATCATTAATACAACGTAATAAGAATTTAAGTAAAGAAAAAGTATTAAACAAAAATAAATAAAAAGTGAAAGTGAAGAAAAAAATAATAAATAAAGTGCATTAGTATTTGTGTGTTAAAATTTGCAACTTTTAAATAAAGTTTCAAAAGTTATAAATTCAAAATTAAATACGAAAAAGATACAATATCCACATTTATGCACATTTACATATGTATGTATATATGTATGTATGCGCATATTGTACGTACATTGAAAATAGAAAAGATCAATACATACAAAAAGTGAAAACAGATTATTTCAAGCGCAATTTTCATTTCTCAATTTTTTGCACATTTTCATACGGATATTTCATTAGAGAAGAAAATCAGTTTAAACAACTGTGCGAGTGTGTGATTTCTCGATTTGGATGTACACATAGCTGTACATATATAAATATGCAAGTGCTATGAAAAGGTTAATTTCATTAACACTGCCATGTGAAGCTTAAGTTCACTTTAACAGTTATGTGCTCGCGTTGGAATGTATTTTTCCCCTCAACGTTCAGCGTTCTTTCCTCGCGTCTTTGCTTGTGTTCGTCCTCTAAACGCGTGCGGTTGACAATGTGTATCTATTCTCTGTTTTGTAATCAAAAAAATTTGTGCGAAAATGCGAAAAAGATTTGTATTTCTATTTTAAAATTGGAATCTTGTTGAAAAAAATGAGATATCTAAGCCTTAATTTATTTTCAGATTTGTGTAGGAAAGTAGAAAAAAAACTGTAAAAAGTTTTGTAATTAAAATTGTCGAAAGTTGGGACAACAAACACACATACCTATACAAATAAAATGGATATCTTAACTCAAATTCTAAATATGAATGCTGGTGGGGCGTATGGTGGCGGTAAAGCGGGTGGCGCCTTTGATCCACTCACATTTGCCATGAAGCCTCAAGTGGTGATACGTGCTCTATGTTGGGTAAGTTGACATCGCTATGGTTTTGAGTATTCATACATTTCGTTGCTACACTTCAGTATTATATTCTCTATTTTTAATATATTCTACACATGTATGTATGTGCATATATAGTACATGCTTTTACATATTTTCATAATACACTTTTCTATTCCGTACTGAAATCCATAAATAAAACTCGGGACTTGGTTGTGTGCGAAGGTTCGGCGCAATTTTACTTTATTTTATTTTCTTAAATGTTATTTTACTTTTTTACAAATTTAATTTATTTAATGTTAGTTTATTTTGTTGTTTTTTTTAATTTAATTTAATTTCATCTCATTTTCTTATAGTTTATTTTATTTCATTTCATTCTATTTTAATTTATTTCAATTTATTTTTTTATTTCATTTAATTGAATTTTATAATATTTTAATTTATTTTATTTTATTATATTTTACTTTATTTAACATTATTTTATGGTGCTTTATTAAAATTTGTTTAATTTCATTTGGTTTCATTTAAATTCAATAAAATTATTTTATTTATTTTTTTATTTTATATTTTATAATATATTATCTTATATTTTCTATGGTTTTTTCATTTAATTTTAATTATTTTTTTAATTATTTTTATCTTTATTTATTTTTTGATTTATTTTATTTTATGCTGTTTTATTTTACTTTATTTTATTTTATTTTATTTTATTTTATTTTATTTTATTTTATTTTATTTTATTTTATTTTATTTTATTTTATTTTATATTATTTTATTTTATTTTATTTTTCTTATTCTCATTTTAATATTATTTGTTTTTATATTCCTAAACTTATTTCCATATGAAAAGTTAACGGCTTCCTCTTTTTTTTGTCTCATTTCTCTTTCCTGTTCTACTGTTGTGGAATCAAAATTAATTGTTGTCTGCTTTTAGGGTTGGGTATTATGCGTCGCCCAACAACAACTCCCGAATGAATAAGTCTCCAGCGTGTGCGTATTAGATTGTTTGCGCTGTTGTGCAAATCACAACAATAGTTTTGTTCGGTGAGCTGATGGGCCATAACAATTGTTAACTATTTTTACTAAATCGCATTCGCTGAGGCAAAAGGCCAGCTAAATTTTTAGCGAGAGAGCGCAATTTTGCCACTTCCTTATTGGCTAATTTTTACTAACATTTCTCATTGAACAAAGCTAATAGCTTATAAACCGATACTAAATAAAATGAGAACATAAACAATTTTTGTACCATAGTAGAATAGAGTTCAAAAAATCAGAAATTAAAGCGAACTGTAATGAGATGCCGAAGAAAAATAAAACAAATCCATTATGTTGGTATTCGTATTTTAAAAATTTTTTCTTTTTCACGTACTTTCTTTGACTCATAATTGGATTAAAGCAAAATATTCGAATAAAGTGTTGTATATGTATGTGATTACCACCATTCGAAGTGCTTATACCTCTCACCTCCACTCTAGATGTCCTTAAATATAGACCTGTTATTTGATTGTTGACAACATGACATCAGTGCAGTGCTTGTATATTCACACCGAGGACAGGATAAAACATCTTTATATTTATGAATAGCACGCAGACGTGTCCCATTGTTAGTGAGTCTATTTATCTATGCACACATATATTATGTAGGTATATTATGTAATATGAAATATGTAAGCTCTGTGCGTAAGGCGTCATTCAATATCGTGTTTATGTCAGTGAAAACTTTGACTTGTACATACACGTTGAACTTAATCGTATCGTGCCAACAAACTTCTCATCCTTACATGTATGGACATTTGAAGCATCACAGTGAGAAGTAGGTATTGCTGCTGCAAGGCTGAAAGCTGATTGAAAGTACACTGTAGTTAAAGTGGCACCAGAGAGATAGATTGTGGGCAGTTAACGCAAACTTTTATTATTTTCCAAAACAATCAATTACTCCTCAATGCCCTCCCTATATTGTCGTTTACTAAATTTTTTTTACAGTTATTCACATATTTGTATTTTGTATTGAAGAGCAGTGTAAATCCTGGATACGAAAATATGAAGGTAATTTCATTTACTGACATTTGTTGTTGTTGCTCACTCTTCGAAAATATGTAAAATTTTGACAAGATTTATAAATTGTACTTCCATACCAAGGTTTCTAGAGAATAAGGTTAGCCATTTGTCGCTAGTAGGAAATACCAAGTGAAACCCGATCGGTCTCCAACTGATCCCTCCAATGTAATGAAAATCTTCCTCTTTCTCTGCTTCCACCGGCGGATCAAGACAACGCGAGATCACAATCATCGATAGTGACTAGCTAGAGTCCCCGAGAGCTTGGTTGGGAGTTTTTTTTGCATTCATCTCACAGTCCGGACCTCACGACAAGAGATTACGATCGCTTTCTGTTTATGGCGAATGATTTGGCTGGTGAAGAAGTGGTGAAGAAAATCGATTGTCCCAATGTGTTTTTTATACTAATTGCTACAAGGGTTTCTATGGTGCAAAGGTTTCTATGACGTTAGCTTCAAAAGGCTAAAATTAAAGAGTAAAACGACACATTTCGAAAATTTGACATATATTCGATATTATTAATCACGGTAAGAAGAGCTTTAAATTTAATGCAAAAATAATGGATTACTTGTTACTAGATCTAATATTTTTTTTTTTAATATAATAGCTCTGAATCTGCTTCACTTACCGGTGAAAATGTATTCAAAACTTTTCTCGAATCCATTTCGAGTGACAATTTTTCGATATACATATTAAAATTTTGAAAATTTAGGAAGCGAATAATGCCTTTTCGTAAAACTTATCAGTGGCACTTTGATAACTAAATGAAGCTTTTCATGCACCGTTAAAATTTTAAACTGAAAGATCATGAAAAATTATTTTTTCCTGAAGTTGAGAAGAGTAGAAATGTGCAGAATTGAAAGAGTTGATATCAACTTTTGAGATTATCAATCCTTTACTCTCTTAGGCCGATTCAATCTACTTATCGCCCTACGGACTTAAGAACTTATTTATGGCCCTTGAGTCCTGAAGCAATTATTCACTGTCCATAATTGTATCTCAGTAGAAACTAAAAATGGCATGAAGAGACGATTTACTGTATTACAAAATTAGATCTCTCTAATTCAAATGTTAATCTGAGTTATAAAAAATCTTTGATACAATATATTTTTTTATTGTAAGCTCTACTACCAATTATTGATGCAATAAATTTTAATAAATAAAAAAAATACTTAATAAATTAATATAAGTGCACATCTATCCGATACATTTTTTATTCTATATTATTTATGACTCATATATATTATATTTATTGGGTTGCCCCCAAAAAGAAAGAGGCGATTTTTCATAAGACAACGTTGATATATTTTTTTTTAATTTAACTATTTATTTGCATTTTTTCTTTCGCCAGTTATAAGCTATCACTTTTAGCTTGCTTAAGAAAAAAAGTACGCGCAATTTTCTTGAAATTAGTTTGCTTGGCGTCAATTTTAATATGGAGCCCACAAAATAACATTTTTGCCATATTTTACTTTATTATTTCCTTAAAGGCATAATGCAGCGCAGGTTGCTAAAAATTTGCATAATTTGTATGGTGCTAAGGCCCTAAAAGATACAGAGTGTCGAAGTTGGTTTGTCAAAATCCGTACGGGAGATTTTTCACTCAAAGATAAGCCACCTTCTGGTTGGCCAGGAAAAGTTGATGATGACGATATCAAGGCTTTAATCGAATAGGATCGTCATGTAACTGAGCGTGAGATTGGAAGTACTTAAGTATATCAAAATCAACCGTTCATAATCATATGCGACGTTTTGGACTGGTAAAAAACTTAATATTTTGGGGACATCATGAATTGAAAGAATTTCATTTAATAAGCCGCTTCAACGCTTGTGAAATGTATCTTAAGCGCACTGAATATGATCCGTTTTTTGAAGCAAATCATAACTGGAGATGAAAAATGGATTGTTTACAATAACGTCAATCGGAACGATCGTGGTTTTCAAGGGCTGATATTCGCCAAAAGAAGATCATGCTGTCAGTTTGGTGGGATTGAAGGGGTGTGGTTAACTTTGAGCTACTTCCAAGGAATCAAACGATTAATTTGGATGTCTAATGATTGGACAAATTGAATACATCCATCAACATCGAAGCGGTCAGAATTGGTCAATAGTAAAGGTCTCCTCTTCCACCAGAACAATGCCAGACCGCACACATCTTTGGCCTATCGCCAAAAACTTAGAGAGCTTGGCTGGGAAGCATTGATATATCCACCATATATCCCTGATCTAGCACCGTCAGACTACCATTTGTTTCGATCTTTGGAGAACTCATTAAATGATAAAACTTTCGAAAATGACGAGACTATAAAATTACACTTTGTTTAGTCTTTGCAGATAAAGGCCAGAAGTTCTATGAGCGTGAAATAATGTTGTTGCCGGAAAGATGGCAACCAATAAAATTGAAATTACATAATTGTTTAAAGTTCATTATAAAGTTAAAAAAAATGTTTTTACCTTCCTTTAAAGAAATCGCCAGTTCCTTTTGTGGCAACCCAATAAATAATTTCCTTGCCATTGCATAACAGCTCAGCTTGCACATTTCTGGTACGTTCTTTCGTGCGCACAAGGACATTTAGAGTACCCACAAATCCTGCAGTTTGTTTAGTCATTAGTTGCTGTCATGATATATATGTTTATATATATATATGTATATTTGTATTTATTGGCGTAAATGAAAGCTTTTTCTTCAAGCACATCACCAAGTGTCAATTTCAAATACATATATAAATGGCTCTTGGGCATCAGCTGTGCTTTGTGTGATGGTAACGGTCTTTTTATATGCTCTGCAGCGAAAAACACTAGTTGCTAATAAGATTCCAACTAGTTCTTATTTTTACACAAACTAGTTAACCTTCAATCTATTTTTCATGTAAGCAATTAGTATGTTAGCTTCATACTAGTTAAATACCAGTTCATATATACCAGTCAAATACTGCTTCGTTTATAGCAGTTGAGAACTAGTTCGCCTCAAT